ATCATTCGTTCCAAACAGAGCAGTTTAAGACGACGACTTTTGTATCTAAAAACATCTTTGATTACGTAAATGGTAAATTGTTAACCACGAACACAGTATTTTCCTAATCGGCAGCAGACATTCATCTGGGATCGGAAAGTCTTCCCTCCCAACAAGGACGAAGAGAGAAATGATGAGATGGGCACATTTTGCAACTCTATTTCCAGTTACCAGATTCAGTCGACCTGCAGGCAGAGGGGACAGGGGCAGCCACTCATACTCTCTCCGAGGAGATGCAAAACCACCCAAAAGATTGTATGCATCCCCTCCAGAAACCAAAAATGCGCCCGAACGTTATAACAGCCAATCCACAGAATGATGACTGAGACCATAAATAGGATATACCCTGGAAGCGTGAAGACCGAAAACAAATCCGCTAAAATTCCGCTCCAACTTTGACGTGGGACAATAATTCAGAACAGTAGCTGAGAAAGATCATTTGGGCTTTGGAAGGTTCTATCAAATGTCTGCTGATCTGAGACGTCGCAGTATCTGATCCTGACAACCAAATCATCCTGAACTTAGCAAGTGCATGAAAGCCATCCGATTTTTCTGTCTCCCCTCCTTGCTCAGTTTTCCTTGGTTCCCTACTTCCCGGCCATTATTTATAATTCTTACGCTGTCGCTCTTCCCACCCCAGCCCGTTTCCATTATCCTATAGCCATTAAAACTCGTGACCCCTGGGTTACCTGTCCACGCCCTATTTTGCATCGCCCTCTTGCTCAAATCCCACACTTGCAGAGGCTTCTAGAAAACGGCTCAGAGCACATGCACCGCCCTAAATGCACTGCGTTTCCTACTCGTTTGCAAAAAAAAAAAAAAAAACTGCCTTATTGAACAGCACGAATCCATCCCGCACACTAGGCATTTAATAACAGCCAGGTGCACGGAGGAGAAAGCCCAATAAGACAACTTCTCTTTTTCCTTTTCCTTTGCCGGGTTCACAATCATAGCGCATTACACTTTGCAAAGCGCTTTAAGACGCATGAGAGCTCATTAGCTCCTCTTAACTTCCGGCACGGAGGGGAAAATAAATGCAGGGCCCTTATTTTCCTGGCGTTAAAGAGGAGACAGAGTTGCTCAGGGATGCACCGGACGTTTAGTGCATTTAAACGACCGCTTTGCAGCGCCAGGCGCTACGAACGCCGGGTTCCCGGAAGACAACCGGAAACGCACACAAAAACGTGCCCGTGACTTTTAGGGTCTAGTGAGGACGATGAAAAGACGATTCAGTGGGATAAGTCGGGGGAGGATGAAAATAGGAACTGAGTGACGTCACACACGAGGGGGAAGACCCTTCCCTGGCCGGGCGGGTGACCCTGCTGACCGGAAGTGGCCCCGGCGCGGCGTGCGGGACCCGCAGGTGCCCCGGGGTCCCCGAGGCTGGCGCTGGGGCTCACACGGGGCTTCCAACGCGGTCCGCGTCCCCGTCCCTCGGCCCCTACTCACGCAGGTGCCGCCCGCCCGCGACGGCGCCGCTGGACGCTCCCGGCCTCGAGGCCCGACTGGCGGCCCCGCCCGATATGGGC